CCCCCCGTGAAAAACACAGCAGGTGTGGTGGCACACATCTCTAAACTCAGCACTCTAGAGGCAGAGGCAGGAGAATCTCTTTCTTAGTCAGCAGTCTATTGCTGTGGAGAGACACCATGAGCACAATTCTTCAGAGGTCCAGTCCATTGTCACCATGTCAGAAATTATGGCGCCACGCAGGCAGACATGGTGCTGAAGAAGTAGCTCAGAGTTCTGCATCTGGATCCACAAAAGAGAAGGAAGGGAGAGGCTCCGGGCTCAGAACGAGCTCTTTGAAACCAACCCCTAGTGCCACACCTCCTTCAGCAAGGCCACGCCTCCTAATCCCTCTCAAATAGTTCCACTCCCCTCATGACCAAGCATTCAAATGTATGGGTGTATGGGCGCCATTCTTATTCAAACTCCACAATCTCTTAATTTTTAAAGTTTAATTATTTTTAGCTTATGTGTGGGTATCTGCCTGCCTGTATGTCTGTCTATCATGTGCATGCTTGGTGCTCACGAGGCCAGAAGAGGGCATTGGATTCTCTGGGACTGGAGTTACAGATAATTGTGAGCCACCAAGTGGGTACTGGGAATCAAACCCAGGTCCTCTGGAAAGAGCAGCCTGTGCTCTTAAGCCCACTAAGCCATCTCTCTCCGGCCCACGATTTCTTAACCAAGCCTGGTTTTCTTGAGTCTTTCATCTCAAAGTGGAGTGTTAAGGGCGCTTCCTGAGACTTCATTGTTTTGGTTTGTTTGTTTGTATTTGTTTACAACTGCACTGTCCACCTCAAGGTTAACTTACGCTTAGCTAAAGCTGCTGACCCAGATGTCCCCATGAATATAGGAAATGGCCACTCCTGGGCACTCCTTCTCACATGCCCTCCTCTAAAATTTCAGCCATTCTTGGCTGTCTCCAAAATGATGTGTAAAATGAAGTACTTACTTGTCTAGCGTGAGTCCTGGGATTGAAACCCAGCACCACAAATAAACAAAAATCACTGCAGCAAGTGCCCACACTTTCATCCTCTTCCCCCTGGGTCATTGCCATCGCGCTCCACAGGAGTGTCCGGCTTTCACTGTACCTCACTGTTATCAGGTGAGTTGCAGCCCGAGGTGTTACCATTCTAAAGTAGTTATTGAGCTGGAAAGATGGCTCAGTGATGAAGAGCACATTCTATTCTCTCAGGGGACCCAAGTCCGGTTCCCAGCACACGCGATGTTTCACACTGCCCGTGAATCCAGCTCACCCACACACAGGAGGCATACACGTACGTAATTACGAATAAAATAATTGGCCAGGTGGTGGCAGCACACACCTCTAATACTAGCTCTCGGGAGGCAGAGACAGGCAGATCTCTGAGTTTGACGCCAGCCAGGTATACAGGAGACTTGTCTGTGGGGAATGCAAAAGCTTTTTTTTGCCAGCTTTTGTCCTAGATTTAAAGGGTGGGGAGGGGCTGAGAAGATAAGTGGAGGAATCTTAGCAGCTGCCAGGAGGGGGAGAATGGGGAAGAGGGTGAGAAAAAGTTTTGCTTTTTTGAGTTAGATGTCAAGAAAGCAGAGGAGTAAGGGTTGTGTGTGCGTGTGTGTGTTTTTGGGGGGGGGTTCCCCAAAGAGGAAGGGTAAGAATGTCAGATGTCTGGGCAAGCAGGTTTAGCTGGAATTGGAAAAGAGAAGCCAGAAATGTCGTTCCACACAGAGCACCCTTAAACAGCGGTGTCCTGGAAGGGGCTTGGGGGCTCAGAAGTAACTCATGGAGGGGAATTATCCCTCCCACCTTTAACAGCTTTCCTCTTTACATTTATGGGGACAGGGGCCACAGGTGTCATGGTGTTCATGTGGATGCTTACGGGAGCTGGTTCTTGACTCTGCCACGTGGGGACTGAGCAGGTGGTCAGGCTAGGTTTGGCTTCCGGTGTCTTTACCCACTGAGCCTTTGAATATGGCTTCAGGCGTATCACATTTGTCTTCTAGCAAGTCCCCTGAGGTTGTGAAACAGGATTTTCTCCTTATCATGGAGGCCTGGGCGAGGAAACTTCTTGCTGTTTTCTTCAAAGGGTATTAACAGAGCCTTTTGCAGCAAAGGGTGAAGAAGCAAGGCTAACATTTCCTCTTCCTTCAAAATTAGTGTTATCTGGGACAGAGGAAGTGGGGTGCAAAGATGAATGAAGAGGGGTCTAGCCTCAACGATCTCCAAGCCTACTGACATCTGACCAGCTGGCCAACCCTGCCTCCTATCACACTGATGTGTCTGAGGGTTCGGCTCATTGGCTGGGCCTGCAGCAAAAGCCCTTGCTTTAGGTGCACTGGATGAGGAAGGAATGTCTGACTGACTGCCATCCAAAATGGATGAAGGAAGCCCAGATACTGGATGAGAAAGACAAGGACCCTCAGGTAGCCGAATTAGCAATCAGCACTCCAGGCCTCATCCTGGCCTTCACCTATACTCGCCACCTCTATCCTGTCAGGCCTACTGAGCCTCTCTGGGTGTTGTTCTGGCTTGCCAGCCCCCCCCCCCCCCCAGTTCCCATCTACGACTCGTAAATGCTTCTTAGATTTGTGTGTTTGCGTTCGTGTACTTATGTGTATCACGTGTGAACCTGGTGACCACAGAAGCCTGAAGAGGACCTGGGATCACCTGGCCCTGGAGCCACAGATGGGTGTGAGCCACCACATGGTGCTGGGAACCAACTCAGCCCCTCCACAAGAGCAACTAGTACTCTTAAGCACTGGGCCTCCTCTCCACCCTGGGATAGTCATTCTAATTGAGCTGGTGAGGCAGGAGTGGGTTCATTTTCTTCACCAATTTAAGAATTAAAAGGTAGGAAAAGTTGGAAGGTCAAGCAAAGCCGAAGTTTATTCAAAGAGGACAGTTTTATTACAGTTTAAAAGGAAAACTTGGGGCTGGAGAGATGGCTCAGTGGTTAAGAGCACTAGCTGCTCTCTGCTCTTCCAGAGAACCTGGGTTCAATTCCCAGCACCCACATGGCAGTTCACAACTGTCTGTAACTCCTGTTCCAGATGATCTGACACCCTCACACAGACATATGTGCAGTCAAAACACCAATGCACATAAAAATAAATTATTTAAAGGAAAACTTGTCTGGGTATGGTGGCACACACCTTTAGGGAAGGCAGCAGCAGGCAGACAGACCTCTCAACTTGAGGCCAGCCAGGTCTACATAGTGAGACCCTTAAAGAAGAAGAGTGAAGAGAAAGAATTCAACAAGTTGAATTTCGGTTAAGCCAGCACGGAGGTCAGCCATATAGAAGAGAGCAGGGCTTTAGGGGAAGCCCAAAGTATTAGCAAACTTAGGTTTGACAAACATTCAAAAGGACAAAAAAAAAGGGGGGGGGGAGAGAAAAGTAGACTCGAGAACCTCATGGCAGCTTGTAGGAACTGTGCTGGGACAGGTGGGTGGGAGGACAGGAATTCTGGGAAGGAAACGTGTAGTATCTCATTAAAAGGATAATTACCCTGCCTATCCTTCAGCACAGCTTGGAGTGAGCCTGTCTTCCTGGGAGTGGTCCTGTCTTGCTGACAGGTAATCCTTCCACAGTTTAGAGATTCCATCCTCTTGGCCAGAAGGAACTAGTTTTCCCTTCCGGGCTTGTATGGCTGGTGTGTTGCTTCCTTTCCTGGCTCCCTGTAATCCTATAGGCTGGATAAGCTGGAGACCTCCCAGACTGTCCACAGCAACGCCCCAGTCTCAGGCGAGAAATGTGTGAAGGCACAGCGCAGATTACATGCTGGCTCAGGTGGCCCGCTGGCAGGCTCATGAGGCAAACCAGGAGCTTTGTGCAGTACAAAGACGCCAGACCTCTCTTTCCTGGCCTTGTTAGGAACTTTGTCCCACACTGAGGGGAACGGCAGCCTGTCTGAACTCTGTCAGGAGGTGACTTGTACGTACCCTGGGAACTGTTAGTTCTTACCCTCAGGATTAAACCCCTGGCCAGAGTGAGCAGCTGCCTGGAGGATGGGTCTGGATCACTGGGGGACGAAGGTCGCTGGAACCTACGGTCCTCAGACTGAGGTCCTGGAAATCTGCTAGACGGAATTTGAATTTGTTGAGCATCCCCGCCCCCTCCCCCGCATCACTTCACAGGATCCTCAGGCGAAGCTGTGTGAGGATCCACCGAGCCAGCGGGAAAATCGCAGCTCCCCTGAGGCAGAGCTGGACGCGTGTACCAGCTGCCCACAGCTGGCGCTCAAGTGTTAGGGCAACGTCGCCGCGGAGAGCCTCCTCCAGCCCCTAAGTCAGCCGCAAGGGGATCTCCCCGCAAAGGTAGCCCGTGAGCGACCTGGGTGCTCCAGTGCCCGCCGCCAGCGCCCGGGAAAGCCGTCTCAGAGGTTCGGGGACCAGGGCGGGAGAGCGGCGGCCGGCCGGGAGGGGTGGCCACTTCCCCTCCCTCCCACCGCCTCCCCTCCCTCCCACCTCCGCCTCACTCAGGCGGGGGTTCCGGGAACCGGCCGGGGCGGGGCAAGGAGGCTAGGGCCGCGCGGAGGAGCTGAGGTCGCGGCTGCACCGCTGCCCTGTGTTTGGTCCGTCTGGTCTGCTCGTCGTCGGTCTGTCCCGCCATGGGTGCGCCGGTGTCCTCTCCGTGGACCCTGTTGCTGCTGCTGTTGTTGCTGCCGCCGCCTCCCGGTGGTGAGCCTGGGAGGAGGGGGCGGTGTACGCTGCCCAGGGACCGGGTCGGGTCGGACACTTCCCCTAGCTGTCTCTGGGAGAGCCAGGCAGCATCAGCCCCGGAGTGCTTCGACTTGAGTCCCTGATAACCGAGGGGGCGTCTGCGAACCCCATCACTGACTTCATCTTATCACCCCTTCCCTCCTGAACTGACACTGCCACCCTTGTTGTGCCCTTCGTGGTGTGTAGGCCCTACCTGTTCCAGGGGCTGGAGCAGGATTCCCTGCCTGGGGTTAGCTCCAGGTAGGGCCTCGGGGCCGCCTGGCCCCTCCAGCAGAGGTTATGCTTCCGGGCTGGGAGCCCCACAACCGCTGCCTCTACAGCCCTTGGATTCCTGGAGAAGCTGGGCCCTAAGGCTGGCCTCTTGTGGGGAGGAGACACCGGAGGGATGACTCACAGGCTTGGAAGGGCAGACTGGGGGCCTGTTCGGGGTATATATTGGAGCAGCCCCCTGCCCTACCCGGCCACGGGAAGCTAATGAATGATTCTGTTGGGATGGGTGGCTTCCTGGAGGACAAGGGCTGTGTTTCCTGAGGGCTGATTTGTGGGGTTAATAGATGGGAGAGTCAGCCCACCCCAGGAGTGAGCCTATTGGAGGATGGGTCTCCAGGCTGGAGAGCCCTGTTCCTTGTCTGGAGTTGAGAAGAGCATTACTGACTGGGACCGGGCATGAAAGACCACTGGTGTGGGCATCGCAAGATGGCACTTGCCTTTAATCTCAGCACTGCAGAGGCAGGAGGAGCCCTGTGAGCTTAAGGCCAGTCTGGTCTAGGGTGTGAGTTTCCAGGCAGGCCAGGGCTACATAGTGAGACCCTGCCCTAAAAAGAAAGAAAGGAAAGTCTCGCTGGTGTGGGCTGTTCAGCCTGACCCAGTCACAGCTGGCCTGTGGCTGTTCTGGTAAGCATTTTAGGTGGTCAGCATGCTGAACCCGGCCAGCAGTGGCCAGACAGACCCATTCCATGGTTTTGTCCAGAGCAAGATTCTGCTTGGTGCCACCAAAAACATCAATAAAAAGGTGGCCCTCTGCATCTCTGAGTTTGAGTCCAGCTTGGTCTACAGAGCAAGTTTCGGGACAGCCAGGGTCACACTGAGACCCTATTTTGGGGGAGGGGAGGGGGGAGCAGCCCTCTTTACCTCCAAGTTATCTTTTCTTGGAGTATCACAGTGCCTCTGTCCTTGGGCCTTGTTCTCCTGACAGCTCCAGGGTGCGTGCTCTGCTGATTTGTGTGGGCCTTCTGAGCAGGGCTGCTGACACTTAAGGGACTGTCCGCAGACGGAGTCTGATGAGCCTTGATGAGCCTTGAGGAGTTCTCTTGTGTGTGGGCTCCAGGTTTGCTAGCATCGCTCGCCTAAGGACAGATGGGCACTTGGTGTGTGGCATCCTCCCGGAGCGTTGTGAAGCTTGCGGGGACCCTGCGGCCTTCCCCACATCTCTCAGCGTGACCTTGTGTGTGGAGATTTGCACGGATGCTGCTCGCTGTTAGATTGAGAGCCTCGTGATGGCCCCAGGCTTTCACGGGTGCCACTGAGCACAAACGTTTTCTAATACTGGCTACATGCCTAGCCTAGGGTACATGCTTTATGGACTCTCGTGTGGAGACTGTCATTGTGACTTGGTTAGGACTCAGCTGGTGGGGGCTGAGGGTCGGGCCTCTCCTGCCTGCACTTGTGCCCGGCAGCTGAGGGTGCTATGGAGGTAATGAGGATTAAATATTACACAGCCCCGTGCCTGCAGCCGCCCAGGTGTGCTTCTCCTACCAGGAAACCAACAGACTTCCAAGGGCCAGAGGGTACCTTGCTGTGGCTCAGAGGAGAGGCTTGGTAGAAAGGTGGTTCCCTGAGGCGGCCTGAAGCTTCTGCCTGGTGGCTGCACTGGGGAAATGACTGGCATTGACTGGGGTATGGAGGAGCCCTGGCCTATGGGACACCGGGGAATGAGCTTGTTTCTGTGCTTCAGCCCACGGTGAGATATGTAGGTCTTTTGATGAAGACAGCCTGATCCCGGGGTCCTGTCCTGATTTCTGCTGCGGTTCCTGTTCCAACCAATATTGCTGCTCCGATGTGCTGAACAGAGTCCAGTGGAACGGGGAGCTGTGTACAGAGGCGGAGCCCAGGTGGGTGTGTGGAGGGGAGGAAGAGGGTGAGGAACCTCAATCCAGTCCCTGGGGAGTGCCTTGCCCCTCTGGCCTCTCAAGACAGTGGGCTGTGCGGTGAGCCATAGTGGTGGGGGAGCCGTCTTCTAGACTGGACTGCCTAAAGCTACTCCGCCCCTCCCCACCCTCAAGGCTTCTGTTTCACTCAGCCTCGGGCTGAGGTCAGTGGGCTCAGCTGGCTCTGGCGTTGCACTTGAACGCACAGGTCCTCAGGGCGGGCAGCTGGTTATGCTGGTACCCCCACACTGTGTATGTGCCGTGGTTATGTGTATGCTCTACAAGGTACAGGGCGTGGATGTTGCCCAGAAAGCGATGGACTGTGTCCTCCCGGCAGACTTTTGTCACTGGCGAGGACCAAGATGTGTCTGCCCTCGTCACATCGTGGTTTTCTTTGTACTCGGCCACAGACTGAGAATTGCAGTGGCCATACTTAGCTCACGGCAGGCAGCAAGTCCAGAGCATACCGCCTGTGTCCTCTCCGGTCTCCCATGGCCATTCCGTTCCCCTCCCATCCTATGGGCACCCCACTGTGTGAGGTGTATTCTTAAAAGGTCTGTATTGTTTTGTGGGTACATTTTTGGGGGTGCTCTAACGAATGCCCTTACTTTGTGATCTCAATCCGGTGCTCCTAAGGCAGACGTCACAGCCGTGTCATTCTCTGAGTGAGTCCAAAGTTGTTGGCCTCATAGGCAGCCACAGTGGGCATCCTTGTAACCCCTCCTCCTGCTTTTCATGAATCTGTAAGAAGTTCTTGGGATGTGCATGGGACTGCCGGGTCCCCTGGATGCCACATGGTCACCAAGAGTTGGCTGGTTTTATATCTTACAGTTGTCTGTGTTTTTTAGAGAGAGAGAGAATGTCTCACTATATAACCTTGCTGGCCTCATTCAGAGATCCGCCTGCCTCTGCGTCTTCAGCGCTGAAACTGAAGGTGTCAGTCACCATGCTTGGCTTATAGATGATGTTTTAAAATATTTTCACTATGTTAATTTTTATTACTTTTTAAAATATATACGTTGGTGTTTTGTCTGCTTCACACACGTATGTCTGTGTGATGGTGTTAGATCTTGGAGTTATAGACAGTTGAGAACTGCCACATGGGTGCTGGGAATTGAACCCTGGTCCTACTGGAAGAATGTTCAGCACTCTTAACTGCTGAGCCATCTTTCCAGCCTCAACTTTTATTACTTTGTAAAGGACTTTTGTTTTTTGGTTTTATTTTTCAAGACAGGATTTTTCTGTGTAGCCCTGGCTATCCTGGAACTCGCACTGTAGACCAGGCTGGCCCCGAACTCACAGCGATCCTCCTGCCTCTGCTTCCTGAGTGCTGGGATCTTTCTAGGTCTCTTTTCACATCTGTTGATACAAGATCTTGTTGTGTTGCTCAGGTTGGTTTCAACCAACCAACCTATCTCCGATTACCGAGTAGTTGGGACTGTGAGTACACACGTTATTCTCAGCTTATAGTAATTACAGAAGAAAACAGGTGCATTTATTCCATTCGGATTAATAGATCACCTAGAGAGTAACTCAGGAGTACACTGGATTCCATCCCTAGCACCTCAGAAGGAAAGGGCTTGGTAAAGGTAATGCAGATATTCACTTATGAGATTATATTTGGCATTTTGTTTAGCTTTCTGTTAGTCTCTTATTTTGGACTTTTAAATTTCTTCAAGTTTTATGTGTATTTGTGTGTCTTAGTTAGGCTTTCATTCCTGTGAAGAGACACCGTGACTAAGGCAACTCTCACAAAGGAAAACATTTCACTCAGTCTGACTTATAGTTTCAGAGGTTTTTAGCCTGTGATCATCATGGCGGGAAGCATGGCAGTGTCCAGGCAGACCTGGTGCTGGAGGAAGAGCCGAGAGTTCTACATCTTGATTCACAGGCAAGGAGGAGACTGTCTTTCACACTGGTGTAACTTGAGCATAGGAGACCTCAAGGCCCGCCTCCACAGTGACGCCTCCTCCAACAAGTCACACTTCCTCCATCAAGGCCACACCTCCTAACAGCGCCATGCCCTGTGGCACTATTTAAACCACCACAGTGTGTTCGCCTGCCTGTATGCGCAAAGCCTGCAGAGGCCAGTAGAGGGGTCAGATCCCCCGGAACTGGAGTTACAGGTAGTTCTGGGCTGCCGTGTGGGTTCTAGGAACGAACTCCATCCACTCCTCTGCATGAGGAGCAAGCGCTGAGTAACTGCCGAGCCATCTGTCCAACTTCACACACATAGTTTGTTTCCACTTTGGGGGTATGATGCTAGCTTTGTGGAAGGATCCTGTTTCATGCTGAGGAAATTCCTCGCCATTGGACTTTGCCTAGAGTTTTAATCATAAAGGGATTTGAACTTTGTGAGATGTTTTCTGAGATGGCCATGAGCTATTTTTATCCTCTTAATGTGGCAAATGATGCCTATCTCATTCTAAAATAATATTTTACTTACTTTTAAGTTTTGTGTTTGAGTGTTTTGCCTGCGTGTAAGTGCGTCACAATCAGACCTGGTGTCTGTGGAAGTTAGAGGAAGGCGTTATTTCGTTCCTTGGAACTGGAGTTAACACATACCTGTGAGGTGACTCAGTGGGCCTGGTGCTTGCCACCGAGCCTGAGAACCTGAGTCCAGGGCCTGGGCTTCACATTGTGGGAGGAGAGAACTGACTCCTGTTAGTTGTCCTGTGACCTCTGCATGTTTGTTTGCATGTGTGTGCATGCTAAATACAAAATAAAAAAAAATTAAAATAGCATTCAACTTAGGTTGATGCCTTTTTTTCTCTTGTCATACAGAAAGTCCCATTCCACTGCCTTTCAGTGTCTGTTATTTCCATTGAGATAATGAGCTTGAAAATCGCTTTAAGCTTCATTTTAATCTCTCAAGAAATGGGAGTTCAAGGGATTATTTTTCTTTTGGTGCTAAGAAGCCAACACAGGCCTTGGACACGCTACTGAACTTTATGACTGGCCAAAATCTTATTCTTCTTTTACATATCTTTTCAAACAGGATCTCTCTGTAGCTTCTGACTGGCCTGGAACTCATGTAGACCAGGCTAGCCTCTGACTTGTGGTAATCTGCCTGCCTTTGCCAACTGAGTAGTGGGATTAAAAATGTGTGCAACCATGCCTGGCTTGTACATTTCTCCCTCTCTTGAGAGGGTTTCTATATGTAGCCTTGGCTGTCCTGAAACTCACTCTGTAGACCAGGCTGGCTTTGAACTCACAGAGATCCACCTGCCTCTGCCTCCCGAGTGCTGGGATTAAAAGTGTGTGCCACCACCAACTGGCTTATTTTTATGTCTCTAGGTTTGCAGATCTTCTGAAATCTGAGGTTTAGAGTATCTCACTAGTTGTGGAGTTGTCTGCCATTACTGAAACACTATTCCTTCCCCTTTTCCTTCCCCTGTGGCACTCCAGCTAGACACGTGGTGCCCTCCACACAGTGCCCACGACTCGCGTCTCCCCCACATTTTCATCTGCATCTCTCTGTCTGGATACTGTTGTCTTGTAAGCGCTCAGGTCGCACGGTTCTTGGTTTTCAAAAGCGTTTATCTGTGTGTGCGCGCACGGGTCAACGTGGGTGCCGCAGCTCATTTGTGGAAGTCAGAGGGCAGCGGCAGCGAGCGCTCTGCTCTTTCCTTCTCCCAGGCTTGTTCCAGGGCTCGAACTCAGTTGTCGGGCTTGGGAGCAAGCTCCTTCACTCACCAAGCCACCGAGCTGCCCCCTTTGCTTGCTTGCTTGTTGGAGACAGAGTCTTGCTGAGTGACTGTCACCGGCCTGACACTTGCTGGATCAACCAAGGTCTGGGACTTGCCCCTGCCTCAGAGTGCTGGGATGAAGGGTGTGCACCACCGTGCCTCGCTTTTCACTGAGGTTTTTGTTATTATTTAGAGACAGGGTCTCTCTGTGTAGCCCTGGCTGTCCAGGAACACACTCTGTAGATCATGTTGGCCTCAAGCTCAAGAGATCCACCTGCCTCTGTCTTGGAATGCTGGGATTAAAGGTGTAAGCCACTATTGCCTGGGCTGAGTTGTGGTTGTTGTTTTTTAAACAGTTATATTTTAGAGAATATACTATGTATGAAGTAAATGTACAACCCAGTAGCCTGTCACTGGATGAAGATTAGAATCTTTAGAGAAACCCAGAGGCTCTTTGAACCCACTCATTGTTTCTCTTTTACCCCCAAAGGTAACTATTATCCTAACTTTTATATGATTTTGATTTTTTTTTTTTCATTTTGTGTGTTGGGAGTTTTGCCTCCGTATGGGTTTGCACCGTATGGCGTGCAGTGAGTGCCCTCAGATGCCAGAAGAGGCGGGCAGGTCCCCTAGGACTGTGGTCACAGATGGTTGGGCCACCATGTGAGTGGTGTGAATTCAGCTGAGGTCTTCTGGAGAGAGTCAATGTTGAGCCATCCCTTCAGCCCTGCTTTGTGTATGAGCGTAAATGTGTGTGTGTGTGTGTGTGTGTGTGTGTGTGTCTGTCTGTCTGTCTGTGAGCACCTATGTGTGTATAGCTCAAGTATAGAGACTGGAGGATGACCTCGGATGTTGGTCCTTAGGCACTGTCCGCTCTGTCTGTCTGTCTGTCTATCTATCTATCTATTTAATTTAATTTAATTTAATTTTTTTTTGTTTGTTTGGTTTTTGGGTTTTTGAGATGGGGTTTTTCCATGTAGCCTTGGCTGTCCTGAACTCGAGTGGTAAACCAGGCAGGCCTTGAACTCACAGAGATCCACCTGCCTCTGTCTTCCTGAGTGCTGGGATTACAGGCGTGGGCCACCGAGCCGGATGTGTCCACTTTATTTTATTTATTTAAAATTTATTTATTTTTATGTGCATGGGTGTTTTTTGCCAGCATGTATGTGTTTGCCTGCATGTATGTGTGTGCACCATTACATACAATGACCAAAGAGTCCAGAAGAGGGCGCCAGGCCCCCTGAAACTGGAGTTAAACAGCTGTGAGCCACCATGTGGGGCCTGGGAACCAAGGCTGTGTTCTCTGGAAGAACAGCAAGTGCTCTTCCCTGGCGAGCTCCTGAATTTGTTTAGTTTGATTTTTTTGAGGCCAGGGTCTCTCTATAGGGCCTTGACTGTCCTGGAACTTTCTATGTAGATCAGGTTGGCCCCAAACTCATAGAGCTCTGCCTGCCTCTGCCTCTGGAGTGCTGAGATTGAAGATGTGCACTGGCGTGTTGCGACCACCAGGGGGCACTAAAGCTTCACAATGCTCTCTGGCTTTCTAAAGCAGAAACAAGCCCGCCATGTGCTCTGCACCTTCCCGCCTGCGCAGTCCAAGCCGAGGGGATGACCATGCAGCTTCCACAGACCTGGACTGCCTTCGAGGTCTTCACTCTGCCTTGGACGGGGGGGGGGGGGGGGGGGGGGG